TATTCATCCGGCTGAACATTACTCTGTGCAAGTAGCCAGTGCAGTCCTGACTTTATTCTTGATTAAGTCAAGGCATGCTGTAGTCTCTGAAATGTGTTCTCTCCTAACGTAACGGGGATGATTAGTAAAGTTACCTTTTGGAACATGACTTTCACATTGATAAGTGAATTCCTCACTGCCTGTATAGATCATTTAGCCTCTTCCATACTGGGGGAAAAAAAAAATGGACAGTCCTAAAACATTTTACAGAAGTACCATAAAGCAAAGGCTTCTGAAGTGTATTTCCCACCTGCCATCATCAGTATCTGGTATGAAGCCCCCTGTTAGCCTTTTATTCACATGAAATCCACTTACCTGAACTTTGCTCCATGGGTGTATAAGGTTAAGTTTTCAGACAGCATGATAATGATTATTCTTAAAAAATTAAGGAGAAGCAAAAGTTTAATTGATACTAAAAGTACAAAGCAGAGGCAATCCACACTTCATGGGCTTGAGCCTCAGAATGGAGCAGTTTTTCAGATCTAGTCCAAGAGCTCTTCTACTTATTTTTCTACTGCTCATTCATTTTGAACTAGCTGATTATTTTGATATCATTGCCTTTTCATGTCATACTGAAGGGCTACCAGGGCAATGTTTGCAAAACGGGAGCAAATCTATCATCTCTAATACAGTACGTGTCTCACTGCTTTATCCCAGTACCAATGCTCTGAGAAATCAAAATTCTTCACAGAACTGTACCAGTTTCACCAGCTAAGCTTTAGAAAATACCCAGATTTGAAAAGTGAGTTTAATATAGTTCTCCATTTTGTGTCAGAATAGAAAGTGTTGGCATTACAAGAGGCAGTTTGATGACAAAGTATTTCAGAACATCTTTTTTGAATTGCAGTTAATCAAAACAAGGTAAAACAGTGTACCCTAAAATAATTGCTCAAGTAAAAGAGAGTACTAAGGTACCTCAGATTGTCCTTTAGATGCTGACTTGTTTCATTTTAAATGTCTGAGGCTTCAGCAAATAATTCTTTCATTTTTCTCCCGTTAATGAAGTTCATTCCCGGTACTGGCTGGCCATTTATTCCCTTCAAATATTGCATGGCAGAATGCCAGGAACATACTGTTCAACTTTGCTCTAATTGGTGTGATTTTGCGTACAGGCAAGAAGTAAAATGAAGACACAACATGCCTGCTAAAATTAGAAGCATCACTTTTGCGTGAGATTTTGTGCGTCTGTGAACAGAGGGTATTTTTACTAGGCCTTTGATAGCTGCCTTGTCTGTGCTATAATTTAAATGTCTGTGTCTCCATTCTTTTTTTCAGTGCAAGTGTACAAGCTTTCATGAGCTTTCTAATAACTTCTTTATTGTGTATCACAGACAGGGATACGCAGTGATGCATAGACGTATTAATAGCCATAGCAGAGGTGCTTTTCTTGTGGCTTTAACAGGGTGTATCAGCATTGTCATGGCAATACCTATCTCAAAAATGCAACATAAATATTCACGTCAGGCTGAAAATTGGTACATATGGATGTGAGCACAGTAATGTTATAGTTATTATAACTCGTTATGAACTAAATCACTTCGTGTAAGCAAAATAAATAAAATATATTCTCCATTGTAATACCACTTCACTGGAGCTGAACATTTTCAAGTCCAGTAGGTGCTCTTTTAACAAAACCTATCCATGTAGTGGGCAATGTTAGGTCTTCTGGCTTCCCAGCAAATCCAGAACCACATCAATTTCCCTATCTGTAAGACAAGAAACACACTTTATGTTTGTATCTCTTTTTTGGCATGTCTGAAAGAAGTTAACCTATAACATATCTACACAATCTATAACGTATCCACACAAATTCTTCTGGCAGAAGTATTCATGCATCCTCTCACTCCTTTCTGCTTTCAGCTGGATATTGCTTTCCTGTGTCACAATGCACTCCTAAGGGTGGTGGCCTCTATTATGAGATGATTCCCTTCTACTTAGACATACTGGAATCAAGCCCATTTCAGTAGTTCTGACCCATGTGCCTCTTCCCGGTCCATCTAATCACACATGTAATAAATCTTCTTTCTCACTCTCCCACTGTATGAAGGGATAAGATACATATTTTCCACTCTGTTCCACATCATACTGATAAAAGGCTCTTGCTGGCACCATAAAAGCAAACAAGTAGTGCACACTTGACTGAGGGTGAAGTAATTCATGTCAGTCTCTACAGGGAGGTAGAGCCAAATTACAACTCATCAGTCATCGTTGCTAAGTGAAGGAGTGTGTTTGAAACAGCTATTGAAATATTTAGAACTAAAACAGCGTAGATTTACATAAATAATCCTGACACTTATGTGCACTCACCCTCCATTAAGCAGAAATACTCTTAGCAATTAGGAAAAGCTAATGTATTGCAGAACTTCTTTATCAGTTTATTGAAATTTGTCTGTCGTTACTGTTTGAGTCCTCTGGGCTCAGTCCATCACCACTCTCCTTTTGCACACAGGATTCACTTTTGAAATGTTATTTTAAAAGTTTTTTTAAATACAGGAAAGTATGTATTTTTAAGAGATTTCAGGAGAAAAACTTGTCCTGAAGAAACAAATAATTGGTTTTTTTCTGTCTGGTCCTATATCAGAGCTATTACCTCTGGGTTTGGATACTTGGCATTCAGACCTACTGTCTGTCAGCAATTTCACCATAACCAGGAGCACAGACTTACTGAACAAATCTTTCATCAGTACTTTCAGACTCCGGTCATTTTCATTTATGTAGAGGCAGAAATCAAAAACCTGAGACATCTATTCATGTCACATACACCTACATTTCATTCATCAGAGCAGGCTGCTGTTTACTTTTTTCTCTTTCACTAGCTCTAATGACATGGAGCATGGTCTTTTCTCTTTTCTAGATGGAATGGGCCGAGTCCTTGCTCAAGATGTATATGCAAAAGATAATCTACCACCATTTCCAGCATCAGTGAAAGACGGCTATGCGGTCAGAGGTAAACACTCACTTTGTAGACGTATGGTCTAGTGTCTGTAAAACCACTTTCTAACATGGTGGTTCATCTATTATGGATTGCTGAAGTCACAGTTACGTACAACGCAGCTGTCTCGAAGGAAGACCATAGGGTTGAATTCAGATTTTTATAGTAGATACATATGTACACCAGCAAACGTGCGTCCATGTGTGCTCATGGACATGCACCTGTGTTGCTAGTGGGTTTCTTGGAAGCATAAAGAAGTCAGCAGAATAACAGAACATCTGATTCTGAATGAGAGATGATTCTTCTCTTGTTGATTTAACCAGAAATTTCTCACATATCTGTTACTTTGTTGAACTGTCACAGATCCAGCTTCCTATTTGTGAATTATTTTAGGATTGCATTAGAGAATTTTCAAAAATACAGATCAGAATGTGCTCTTATGGAGGCACCTCAAAAAAAAACCTCATTTTAACTTTGGAAGTATTACATTTGCTGTATATAAATAAAATGAGTAGTGTGACTTTACAGAGCAAGCAGCGAGTGGTTTCCCAGGAGAGCTGAATCCACCCTCTGCTTTGCCACTAGGCGCTGCGTGATTTTGTGAAAGTTGCTTCTCTGTGCATCAGTTTTTCCCTGTGTAAAGTAAAACTAATGATATTCACCTCAGATATCAGTGGAGGAAAATTAAAATATGTATGATTGAACATCATACTAGTAGAGGTTTCATTGTGGAAGGGGCTGAACCATTGTAGCACCATGTTGAAATTTGGACTCAAGAGCCAGCTTTCTTCTAGAGACATTAAAATACTTTTTTTGTTACTGGCAGCTGAAAGAACAGGAAGGAGCTGTCCATGAAATAGACTGTCTGCAAACCCAGGCAATGGATGTAGTCCAGTAGCTTCCCCATGGATTTGATATAAAAATAAAATTCCAGGTCTACAAGATGAGTTTGACTGCAGCTGTCATCTGTGTGTGAGAGACAGGCAGACCAAAATGACCAGCAATAGCGGCAGGAGAGTGCAGATGTAGGCAGAGAAATACAGGTAATACAACACTGAGAAAAGCTGAGAGAGGGAGCTCGGAGTAGAATGCTGACTGATAAGGGCCTTGGGATCACACAAATGCTGTCTTGCAACCTGATTGCTACAAGGTAAGGGGAAGCACAAGTACAAGCTCAGTAAACACTCAGAATGATTGTGAACACCATCTTCAACAGCTTCTGTCTGAACCAACACCCAAGGTCTTAATTTTGGTGGTAGATTCAAACAGAGTAACAGTAAAGTACTCGAGTGCATCCAGAGGAGGGCAACAAAGCCATAGAAAAGGCTGGGAAGAGTGTCCTAAGAGGAGCAGCTAAGGACTTTGTGTTTGTCTCGCTTGGAGAAAAGGAGGCTGAGGGGTGACCTCATTGCTCTCTACAGCTTCCTGAGGAGGGAGAGTGGAGAGGGAGGTGCTGATCTCTTCTCCCAAATATCCAGTAACATAACGTGTGGGAATGGTTCAAAGCTGTGAGGGTAGTTTTAGACTGGATATTAGGAAGCATTTCTTTATCAAGGGTGGTGAAATTCTGGAACAGTCTTCCTAGAGAGGTGGCTGATGCCCCAAGCCTAACAGCATTTAAGAGGCATTTGGACAATGCCCTTAATAATTTGCTTTAAATTTGAATGCCTCAAGTGGTCAGGCAGTTGGACTGATTGTTGTAGGTCCCTTCCAACTGAAATATTCTGTTCTGTTCTATTCTATTCTATTCTGTTCTGTTCTATTCTAATTCTATTCTAATTCTACTCTGCTCCTACTGTTCTTGTAGACCTGTTGTCTCATGATATGAAAAACAAAGCTTGTAGGCAGAAATAGTATTGACTACATTAATGGGTGTTTTTACAAAAAAATAAAGGATTAGCTTTCAGTCACATAAAACTGTCTGCCCAAAACCTTGTCCACTTCTTTCGAGCTGTATTAGTTGTACATCACCTATAAACTTTGTCTCCATATCATTATTAATAAAATCTAATTCAGTAGCATTTTATCAGGTTTAAAATGGTTTAGCTATTAGGAATTTTTTTCTCTTCTTTTGCTGGATCATCCCAGTGCCATATTTTCCAGTGAAGGTCTGTCAACTGTATTCAGTAGTGTTATATGCATTATTCAAAGCCAAGTAGCTCAAGAGTCATTTTCTACTTATTTCAGTTTGTTCTAAAGCTCATAGATTAGGCTGTTTGATAGGCTTTTAAAGTTAAGTTAAACATTAGTCTTCAGCCATGACTAAGTACCATAGATCGTCATCTACAAGAGTTGCAGCTGATGTGTGAGTACAAATATGATAAATCATCATACAGACTGAATGGATATCCTTCCTGAAAGCCAGTCTTCTTAAGATGATAAAGTGGACCCAGACATGACCCAGACTTCTAATGTGGCATTCCAAATTGCATTATCTTAGCCCTAGTGCTCTCCAGAAAACGCCAAACCTGGATGCTCATCTATATAGTCTGTAACCACTGCACTTGTCCATGTTTTCCTCCAAAATCAGAGATGGGATCTAGAAATGTCAATATTCCACTGTTGTCTAGAAAAAAGATACATAATGCACTAATAAAATATGTAATTCCCCTGTGTTAGTTTCACATGGAAAAACATTTGCTCAGGGTGGACATTTTTATAAAAACAATCTGATGAACACTCTTAAACCTTTGTTATTAATGTGATTCCTTCTAGTCATCTTTTACGTGATCCCATGTTGCCCAGAAATTTTCAGTTAAAAGTACTGTAGAACATGCAGTTTTCAAAATAATAAACACAACTTAAAAGGACCTAAAATGTAAAATGTTTGCAAAACTTCCATAAGCTGTGTCATGGTGACACTGGAGAACTGTATTTTAAATCATTCTTTGGTTCACCTGCTCTTAATTTGTAATGCCATCGTTTAGTTTGGTTCAGCCTTTACCGTTTGTATTGTCCATCTTAACAGCTGCTGATGGCCCAGGAGATCGATTCATCATAGGGGAATCCCAGGCTGGTGAGCAGGTGAGCACAATTTCTTTTTTTTAATGTATTTTTCTTTTTTAAGATACTGCTTTGTATTTTTACAAGCCTTGCTAGTGCTCCAAAACTCAGTACTCCTGGAGGTGTTATGAAGTAGGACACAGCTGTACCTAGCCTCCTGCTATGTGCCTTGAGACATGATTTCAGAAAAGTGAGGTCGTACGGTTACATAAGAAACGAACAAGGAGATCCCAAAATACGTCAGAGCATTGTGCTGACGTGTCCGAGAGCAGTGCATACAGTAGTGTTCTGACCTAGAACAGTGTTAGAGTACATAAGGTTTCTAGTGGCATTACAGTTCACAAACAGAGAAAAGCAAGATTTAAACCCTTCTTGCTGACAGACTTTAAAAGGGACGTCAGCCCAATAACTGTTTCCACAAGCTGCTTGCAGATTTCACACAGATAACTGCAAAACAAAGTGTAAGAATTTTGTATGAAGCCTTTAAGGGTAGGTAAATGATCACAGCAATCTCGAGGAAGCCTGGCAGCAGCTAGTTTTATGGTATTGCTCCTTTACAGTTTGTCAAATCAAAAGGGTGTTTGTGCACCCTAGCCGATAATGTGGATTGAGTTTAAGACCAAGTCAGGACAGCACCCATTCATGACCTGCTATTCTGTATAAATATTCATGAATGGACACTATTTGGGATTTGCCTTCAAACTCAAGAGTATATTTGGTGACGTTCCTGTACTAATAATGGGGTGATAGGAAAAAAAAACAGTTATCAACTGTTGGGTTTAACCACTTATTTTATTCTGTCAGTGTGATTGTACCTGCTACCTTCTTTTCATGAGAGCGTGAGTTAATCCAAAATGTTCCTCCAGCTATTTCAAATCCCAGTTTGTAATTCTTTGTATTGTATGTGAAATGATGCAGAAATGGAGTAAGTAACAGGCAAAACAAAGGATTGATCTGTTTTAATTAGGATTTTACAATGTGGCCATTTCAACTGCTACACAAAGTCTCAAATAAAATAGATGCATTTCAAAAGATTTTTTGGGTTTTAGTATTATCAGTTGCAGGATTGTTCCATTGTTTGAAAAATGGAGTTGAACTGCCTCTAAATGTGTAATAGACATTTAATTTGGCTAATCATGATAGATACAGAGAACTATGGAAATCGTTTTTGCTGTAGTTCCCATCCATCATCATGAATTATACTTTGGTATAATAGACATCTTCTCATTGCTGTTACTCATGTCAACTTAGATTAATGAATCTGTTATACAAAATATGCAAAGTTACTTTAAATACTGAAATAGTAAACTAATGAGTTTCACCTGTCTTGGATTTTTAGCTCCTCTGCATTTTCAAGAATCAGTCCAGAATCCAAAAGACAGACAACCTTTTCTACAGCCCTCTTCACAGTCACTACAAAATTGCAAGAACCAGCAGAGCAACCTGCTGAATTATCCCTCCTGTCATTATTCACCTGTCATCAATATTGTAATTTTGCTAGTTAAAAAATATCACAGCATGGTGGTGCTTAAGCTATGTCTAACAGGGAGGGGTGCCCACAGGTCTGAAGGGTTTCAGTGTGTTAGGTTTGTACAAAGGATGAAAAGGCAAATGGGATCTTCCTTCCCTCCTGCAAAATTCAAGAGCTCACAAATGTCTCTGCAGGGACAGTCTGTCCTCCCAGATTAATTGGGAATGAGAAGCCTCTCTGGCAAGGAACAAAAATTGGGTGGGAGGAGGCATGCAGAGGGACAATAATTCTGGAAATACCAGTGGCAAGTGAGAAAAATGAGGCTGTTGACCTCTGAATAATTGGTCAAAGTTTTTTTTTCCCAGGCCAACACATCTTCAGGTTCATCTCCTTCCCAAGAAATTATTTATAGCCTTGGAAGGCTTCTCAGTCTTATTTCACCCTTCAGTCACTCTCAGCAGCACCATTCTGCATTTCATGTTACAGACCAATTAACAGAATGATTCACAGCAGGGAGTTCAAAATAGGTTTAGATTTGGCTTCTCCTGTAGGGACAAAGGTTATGTAAATGCTACATAGAGAGGAAGAAAATGGGATTCAGAATTGCAGAGAGGCCATATAGCCAAGTTGAACATTTCTGTATCAATTTGTATATTGTGTATTATTTTCTCATTTCCATTTCCAGGTGGTCGTGTTTATGTTGACAACCATTTTTTTATTTTGTATTGAGGAAAACTTTCAGACACTATTCCTGCTTTGGGGAAGTTAGGGCACATTTGAGAGTACTAGTCACGAGCCATCCACATGGCCTCTGTGTGAAAACCTCAGCCGTGGGGAGCGATGATTTTCTTCCTATAAACTTGCATAGCTGGAGCTTAGCGTTTCCTGGAAGACTTTCTAAAGATGCTTGTAAGACGCACTGTGACTAACCAGCTGTAATATAGGATGGAAAACAGACATTTTTCACCTCTCCATTAACTTGGGCCTTATTACAAAAAGGAGGATGGGTCATTGTAAATCATGCAGGAGGAGAGGTGTAAGCATGTACAAGAGAAAATGCCTGAGATGGGGGCTGTGCTCAGTAGATTATTTCTAGTTTTTTCAGTGACTAATATTAAATAGGTTATCAGTGATGAAGGCAAAGGACAGAACTGAGTTCTGCCCTGTTCCAGGTAAGTGTGAGATCTCAAAGGCCCTTAAAACAGCTTCTGTGAAGTTGCTGTACATTAATATGGTTACTGAGAAGGAATCATTTCTCTGTCTTCACAGTCTCTAGCACAGTAGAACACAACCCTGGACATTCACACACAAATCTGGTGGTTGACTTTTTTTCATAAAGTTAATCTGATCAAATCCTCAAAGGACAAAAAGGAAATTAAATATATGAGCAACCAATTCTAAAAGCAATTGTTGTTGTATCATAAATTTGTTTAAATGTTTCACATCATTACACCTCAAAAAATTAACTCCTCTAGTCATAAACTCCAAAAGCATGGACAATTACAGCACATTTTATCACTGTAGACATTGATTTCTGGCCAAGACCTAGACATTTCATATTCTTTGTGGTTCTTGACACCCAAAAAATGCATTTTAAATAGGACAGGTTTTTTATGCAATACATTTTTCCTCTAAAAATTGTCACTAAAGATATCAATACTTTTCTAAGTTCAAAACAATATTACCTATTTGTAATGTGTCTACAGGCTGTATCTACAACAATATGCAAAAGAGCTCCCATAATTCAAGGCATAAGCTTTGCTTTTTGCAATATTTGTTTTGATAAAATTCAGAATTGTCTTAGAAAATATTATTTTCACTTTTAAGTATCTTCAGTATAAATGACAGCACCTCAGCTGTTCATCCACAGCTCCTTGCATAGTTGGTGGTGAGAAATAAATACCATTTTTTTTTAAAAATACTATTTTTATGTCATCTGTTTCAGATGCCTGCTTTAGGATAACATGAATCTTGTCCTAAAAACACACTAACCGTGACATATGGCAAGTGTTACCATTTTTTTAAGTTTATTTTAGCATTTTATTTATGTTCTTCTCGAAGGATGTTAGATTTCCATTACCCTAAGAAAAGGGTTCAGTCAGATCCAGGCTCAGCTGTTTCTTGGGATACGTAGATCATTGTGATACTGTGGTAAACCAGGTACCAAGCATTTCCAGCCTTTCCCTTAAAGGCTTCTGTCCCAGTGAGCAACTTGTTTTGGTTTAACCCCAGTCAGCAATCACGCAGCTGCTTGCTCACTCCTCCTACAGCAGGGTTGGGGAGAGAATCAGATACTGCATGGGTTGGATAAATATAGTTTAATAGGTAAAGCAAAAGCCTTGCCCTCAGACAAAGCAGAACAAGGAATTCCTTCACCACTTCCCATCAGCAGGTGGGTGTTCAGCCATCCCCAGGAAAGCTGAGCTCCATCACATGTAACGGTTACTTGGGAAGACCAACACCATCACTCTGAACATCTCCCCCTTCTTTCTTCCCTCAGCTTTATATGCTGAACATGACACCATATGGTATGGAATATGCCTTTGGTCAATTGGGGTCAGCTGTCCCAGCTGTGTCCCCTCCTAGCTTCTTGTGCACCCCCAGCCTACCCACTGGTGGTGTGAGGAACAGAAAAGGCCCTGACTGTGTAAAGCACTGCTCAGCAGTAACGAAAACATCCCTGTGTTATCAACCCTCTTTTCAGTACAAATCCAAACCACAGCCCCATACTAAGCCACTATGAAGGAAATTAACTCCACCCCAGCCAAAACCAAGCCCAGAAATACAAACACTTTGAATACTGACATTTCAGAGGTTGTGGCAGTGCTGAAATGGAGTAGAAGAATGGGCAAGGCAAACACAGCTTTGTGCAGCTGAAATGTTGGCCACCGTTCTAGGATTTGCAGATGTGTAACAGCCTCCTGTCAGAAGTCATGAAGTAAATGACTGCTGGGCGGGAGCAGGTAATAGTGCTTTGGCAGTACTGCTTGCCAGTCTGTGGGTTGCTATCAGATACATGCTAGTCACAGTCTGAGAAGTCCTGGACATATCCCAATGCTGCATATGGAATATGGAGTCAATCTGCACATGAATTATACGTGTGACAACTACAGAATGTGTTGGCCTGATCACAGCTGTGCAGATCTCTGTGTAACACATGTTCACTGATAACAGTAAAGCCTGAAAAAGTTGCACTTACTACAGTGCTGCGGGCAGCAGGCACTCATACTCCAGCAATGAGATCTCCACCATCGTACCAGCTTCTTTTAGTCTCCTTTTTTAAAAAAAGGACTTATTTGTGTTTATTTATTTATTAAGTGGTTATGGTCACATTACAGTTTGTCATTAATTCTCAAATTAACTCTATTCCAGCCAAAACCAGCATGTAATTTTACTCTGGATTTTGAAAAATGTATATTAAAATAAGGTGCCTGGTGAGAAATTTTATTGAAACCATGTCATTTGTTTTATCACGTTGTTCCGATATTTTTCTGTTCTTTGTATTGCTTCAGCTGAAACTTTGTAATGTACTGTGACTTTACGTAATTGTACAATATTATCAATTTTAGACTTTGCTAAACTGACCCTCACAGAGATCGATATTCTATGTCAGCTAATGCTGAGCTTTCTCTCAGTTTGAGGAAATCTGCTTAAAAATGAAACAGCCAGTTACATTACTTTACTGAGAAGCTGCTGGTTTTCAACATATAGTGTGCTGGTAAAACAGAACAAAAACCCAACCAAACCAAAGCAAAAAATTCCAAGACTGAGGACCAGAGTACTCTACAAAAGTACTTATGTACAGAGAACTGTTGTATTTCTGAGACAGTTATTTTTCTCAGCCAACCAGGGCATCAGTATATTGCTCCTTCTGGAAGTTATTCTTGTGATAGAAATCTAAGGGGAAAAATCTGAAGCCACCTAATATGTGACTGTATTTAAAAAGCCAGATCCAAAGCAATGGCCTAATGACCTTTAAATACTTTGGCGTTTATATCTGTTGATATCACTGGCAGTATATCAGCAGTGATGCCACAAACGAGATCTTTAGTCTTTCAGATTAATTCTGTAAAGTTCAAATGGTTTGAGATTTTTCTTTTCAAAAGCAAATTAATTTTTGTTTGTTTATTTTTCAGCCGACACAGACTGTGATGCCGGGTCAGGTAATGCGCGTTACAACTGGTGCTCCAATTCCATGTGGTGCTGATGCAGTGGTGCAAGTGGAAGATACAGAACTCATCAGGGAATCGGATGATGTGAGTCACGAGTTAAAACTCATTTTTCTTTTGTGTGCAGCAGACAATGGCTCATGATACAATCCTACAAATATGAAAGATAGTCCTATGGAAAAGCTCTTAGTTAATCTCAGAAGTTTGAGGGGTTTCATATCACTTCCTAGTGGCAATTCTACTCACATTTTCAAGCTGTGATAACAGTACCACAGACCTACCTGTCCTGACATTGATTTTTTCATCACAGTTGTTGAATGCTGACACCCAAGTATTTGGGAGCATGATTTGAGTGACGATCCATAACTACAGTCCAATCTGAGTGCCTAGTGTATTCAGATTTTAAAATACAGAGTAGTGGCAATCAGACATTGTATTTCCTTCTTTTCAAATGAGTTCATGTTTAGCAGTAGAACAATCATCTTTGTATTTCAAGGTCATCCTGAAACTCAGCAAGATTAGGACTTTAAAAGTTCTCCTAAACTCACCAAATAAGAAGGGGAGAAGTTTTCTTAAAATACATATTGAACCCAGAATAATGCTTTGGAATATTACAGAGCAGGATTTCTGCTGATGTAATTAAAGCTGAGTATGATTTTCTGTGGGAAAATGAACTTTTTTAAGTGCTGCAAAATCCATGGGGTGACTTGGATTAGTTTGAACTATGCTATGAAGATGGTTCTGTATTATTACAGTTCATCTTGTTTCAGCAAAGGTGAATGTGGTGGATTTTGGAGAATATGTCTTGTGCACATACCTTACAACAAAAGTGTATGTTTAGAATAAGGGGTTTATTATGTAACAGTGGCCCACATTTTTTTTTTTTTTAAAGCATAACTAAGTTACTTCAACAGACCTCTGTGCTCCTTTAAAATTAGAATATTACTGAATTTAAGACCTCTGAAAACCAGGAAATGGATATGGTATGTATTGCCCCAGTACATAATCTTTTAATTCTATTTGAACAGATTTTCCAGCATACCTATAAATCATTTTAGTGCTCTACCTTACAGGTGCTGCAAAATTCCACAGAAAAATACGAGTACTGCAGTACTAATTCCGTATGAATTGTTGTTTTAACGGAGTAAAATATGTTTTTTGATGAAGCACAGGAGCAGACTGTAGACTGTATGCCAAACAGTCCATCATAAACTTCCTTTGTGTTCAGAGACTTCCCTCTGAATCATTACCTTCACTTACCCAGCTGTGATTTCATGACAGCATTGTCATGTTTGCCCTCATCTGACAGATTTTAAGGCAAGAAGATACATCTCTTATTGACAGAACTTTCAAGTTCAGTTTTGGAACGAGGTGTGTGCGATGGTTCTTTGCTGAAATCAGCCTTTGCTCCTCTGCTGCTTTTCTGACAAGCTGTTCCACTTCACCATAGCTCTACGCTGGCATTGCGATTGCAGCTGGGGTGTAAGCAGGTGGATTCTGGAGTTCAAAGCTGATAAAGACAGCAAAAACTGAAACATACTCTCATGATCCTTTCTCATGCCTTATTACTGTAAAAGTGTAGATTTTTACATCTGATGAAGTCAGCAAACTGTCTAAGCTGGCCTCCTCCCTAGCAGAGAATGTATTGAATCAGTCCTGCTTTGAGGTTACAGATGTGTATGTGTAGATTATGTCTTCCTGTAAAATACACCATTGATTTCCCTGCTTGCTAATCATTCCATTAGCCTTACTGGGCACGCTTTGGCCGCTATACAACTCATCATGAGAGGACTATCACACTGCAGAGCAACGTACCTGAGAACCTGTTATTTTCCACTTCTTTGGGTGACTGCCTTCCTGGATTCTACTTTTTCTGTGCATGTTCTCCTCTGCGTGTGAGAACAGATTATTTGGCTATGTGCTTAAACTCTGAATTTTTTAGCAAATGTCAGCCACCTTCAGCTTCCTTTTCCTGCCTATTATAGTGAGGTAGAACTCTTCAGTTTCTACTTCTCCTTGAATATGCTTGTCTACCCATCCTGTACACAAATAATCAGTATAGTTTAATTAATGTGTTACTTTTCTGTCCTTTTTCATACCTGGGTGGCTACATATTTCAAGAATATTTTTCTTTTTAGTGTTAAGAACTTCTTCAGGGCTGTGATTTAACTGAAATGAAATCTCTAACATCTGAAAAATGTTCTTCTTAAAAGACAGAGTACTTTTAAAAGGAACTCCTTGACCTCTAGTGGTAGTAGTAGCATTACTTAAATATACTAGCAAGTATTCCCCAAATGACTGTAGAAGTCACAGGCCTGAAAGGAATCCCGTTTATCCATCAGGAAGAAAAAGTCTCATCAGCTTGCCAAATGCACAATCATTGAGAAAGAACCTTGCAAAAACATGGCTACACCCTTTTCATTGTGCCACCTTGTAGGAAAAAGGAGGCCAATGAGATAACCAAAACATGACTTCGATCGTACATGAAGACCGAGCATCAGTACGTCGGTATGGATGCTGGCTGTTAACAACGGGCAGAATAAACCTCTCGGACATCCGTCAAAGTATATTAGTACACAACCAGAAGGATGCTGCCTGATACACACCAAATGGAAGATGTTCTCAGCATAACACCGTGCTTCCCTGCAAGCCCTACCTCTAGCCACCTCGAATTGCCTTGTATTCCTAAAGCATCCTGGGATATCCATCCGTTCCACAAAGAACAGTCTCCGTACATCACCATGTTGTCCACAGTCACAGTTTCCACAGTGCTTTTCAAATCTGGGATTACTAAATTCCTAAAAAGGCTTTTGGGGTTTTTTTTTCTTGTTTCCCCTAAACCAGGAGTCCTAAATAAGACCTCTTTTGTTACTCGAATATATCATTGGCACTCCTCTTAATTCTCTAGAAACTTCCTGGCTGTCTTTAAATGTTATCTAACATATGGAAAACGCAAATCTTCATGAATGGCCAACTATCCCGAGAGTCTCATAAAAACAAAATGATTCTTAGACTCACTCTTGCCCCAGATTTTAATCACAAGCCTAAAGTGTTTTTACAGCTTCAGGTGGGGATACGGGAGATAAAAGGACATCCTGGGCACCAGCACAGCCATTTTGGACGCTTGCAGCCAAAACCAGTCTCTTCTCTTACACAAGAGGAGAAGGTATAAAAGAAACAGAACTTGTATTAAAATCATAGTTTGAAAACACTGTGATAAAGTAAGAAATAAGTCTTTTCAAGGTTGATGTTCTTCATTTCCTGGTTTTCAGAGATTTAAATTTATCAGTTTTCACAGTAGGTAAACAGATTTACAACCTGTAACAAGACATTCATTATCTTTAACTTTGGGGCCTTTAGTTTAAAGCACTCTAGTTTGAGCTCAAAAAATGCAGTCTGTATCACATTTAAGAAAAGAAGGAAGTCCCTTCCAACCCTACCACTCTGTGAATCTGTGAAGTCCCAGTGTCGTATACAACACTATCCTTCCTGTAAAAATTCCAAATTAAAATGACATGTCTTGTAATACTAGTGTCTGATTTATAATTTTGAGATACTTAAGTATGAAGCACTCCATGATAATATAAAACCCAAATCTGTTGCAGTCTAAGTGTATATTTAGTGCTACTGACAGGTTGGCACTATGTCAAAGCTGAGTGTATGTAACATCAACCCACTTGCAGGGGCTTTTAAGTTAGATGTTGACAATATAGGTCATGTGCCATTTATTGGCACTGAATGAATCACGAAAGCGTTGAAATTCTGAAGAAATAAACACAAATATTAAAGTAGGTGTCAGACTTTTCAGGCCACTGAAAAAGAAACATGATGACTAAGCCTTTTCATGATTTGTATAAAACTCTCAAGTAGGAGTTTCCACTATGGGAAATCTCCATGAAAATCCTGAAACAGCTAGAGCGTACAGCATCTTCCTGCCTTTCTGCAGATGTAGTCGCATATTGTGTGTCAGGCTAATGGTCTTTTTGAAAAGATGTTTTGAAATTGTTCGAGCAGATCAAGTTGGCTGAGAGGAGTGGAAAGAATCCACTCAGTATATCAGGTCAACAGACAAATGTATGGTGTAACACAGGGAAGATATATAAACACAGGGATCGTAAAAAAACAAGGTAAAACTTCCCATAAGGAAGAAATTTTTCATGGAGAGGGTGGTGAGGCACTGGAACAGGTTGCCCAGAGAAGCTGTGGATGCCCCATCCCTGGAAGTGTTCAAGGCCAGGCTGGATGAGGCTTTGAGCAACCTGGTCTAGTGGAAGGTGTCCCTGCCCATGGCAGGGGGGTTGGAACTAGATGGTCTTTAAGGTCCCTTCCAACCCAAACCGTTCTATGATGCTATGCATTCAGTGCTGGTCCTTCCCTGGTGAGCTCATCAAAGACAGAATTTCTTATAAAGCCATTCAGTTTTAACGTACACTGTATTATAGTCTTGACACACAGATCAGGAGAACAATGATGATGCTTAAACTGTAAGGTCTCCGTGTAATGAGTACTGTAAGCTGTGTAGACTTCTGAGAAATTAAAGCTGATTAATCTTTGAATAGTCCAGCTGACCATATTTGATCTCCTTGTTTCTGTAGGGCACTGAAGAACTAGAGGTTCGAATCCTGGTGCAGGCTCGACCAGGCCAAGATATCAGGTCTGTAAACAGCCTACTTTATACACAGTAAAATGTCTCTGAAAGGAATAGAAGGGCTGGTGATTTTTGTAGTCATTTTTTAACCATAAATAATACTGACATTTTGACAGTCTGACTAATGAACATCCCTGGACATTCCTCACCTGGGCCAGGACCAATTAAGGAAAGATATTTCCAATCTCATGCTGGTTTTATTTTGGGTTTTTTCTGTGTTATGATTTTCAGACCTATAGGACATGACATTAAAAGAGGTGAATGTGTGCTGGCCAAAGGAACCCACATGGGTCCATCTGAGATTGGTCTCTTAGCAACTGTTGGAGTAACTGAAGTAGAAGTTAACAAGTTTCCAGTGGTTGCAGTCATGTCAACAGGGAATGAGGTAAGAAAAGCATAGTAGAAGGTTCTTGCATGTCATCAAAGGGTCCTTTACTGATGTGGGCACTCTCTTTTGTATCATGTCTTGCATGATCCTGCACATCCCATGGAATTCTTCACAGAAATAGAGCTGCTAGCCAAAGCATCGATATTTAGCCATGTTCCACTTTTGGTTGTTCTTACTATCTAACAGTATTGCTGTAATTTTGACAGATACATTCTTATTATTTACCTCCTGTCAATATTGTCCTGTCCTTCTGTGTCCTAGAAAAGAGTTCCTGATATATGTAAAATATTTGTTTACGTATGTATGGTTTGTAGTTTACCTTCCAAAATATGTAATGCATGTAAGGCGATGGCCATGGTACTAACTTGAGGGAACCCTGTTGTCGTGGTTTAACCACAGCCAGCAGCCACGTACCACACGGCCACTCGCTCATTTCCCCCTTCTCACAGCGGAAGAGGAGAATGGCAGGCAAAGACAAGGAAACTCATGGGCTGAGATAAAAACAATTTGTCCAAAACAGTAATTGATTTAAGAACCAGGCTTTAAGCTTCTGTTTATTTATTATTCCAATACAGCTTGTTGTATTTTAAAAACATCTTCATTGGTAAGTAGACAATGAACGTCAACATTTCTTTTAATACCTTTAAATCTGGTTAGCAACATCAGTGAGGTTCCTTTAAAACCATTTAAATAAAAACAATAACTTGGAAACTTAAAGTTTGTGTTTTGATTTCTAAAGGTTGAGATTAAAAGCCAGGTACTCATAAAGGGAAAGTTTTGGCAGACATAAACCAATAGAAACAAACTAAGCAACATGGAGGATTGGACTAAGCAAACGGAATACATATTAATTTACATTCACTAAATCACTGTGCACGTATGTTTTGTGACAGGTGTCTAAGAATAGCCTGTCCAGTTTCAAGAAATAAATTCTCACTTGTGTGAAAGTACAGTATACCAAGGAGACTGACTCAGAGTGTTTCTGGTTTTACAGCTACTGAATCCTGAAGATGACCTCTTGCCAGGAAAGATTCGGGACAGTAACCGTTCGACTCTCCTAGCTACAATCCAAGAACATGGCTATCCAACAATCAACTTGGGAATTGTGGGAGATAAGTAAGTACCACATGTTAGTAAAGATGTCACTTCATGTTTATGTGGTGCACTTTATGGCATCCATGGAAAAAAGAAATACCAGAGGAAATGTCACTCATTGCAAGTGTCACAGGGTTGTGACAGGGCACATCTTAGAGAAGACATTTGACCCTTTTCATTAGACAAATAAGTCTATTCTAATATTAAGAGGAATCATTGGATAAAATTTTTATTCAATGGTGTTTATCTTGTTTTGACTTCTGTTTGTTGAAACATCTGTTACTGCTGCTGAATTTATTGCTGCAGTATCATCACAAGCACCGTACTTAATACACCTAAAAGGAGACAAATCTACAGCAAATATACTTTTTTCTGATCCAATAAAGGGAGAACGAAAGTTTCTCTCAGGGTTTGTTTTCTATGCTAAAATGAATTTAGAGTATAAAATTTTGTCAGATTCTGAGTAACTGTCTTTTGGGGAAGGCCCCACTGCTGGATAGTCCTCAACATTTCCAGAAATATGGCAAAGAATTTTTAAAAATCACTTTTGTTTTTTCCGTTACTGATCCCTCTACTTCGATTGCCAGAGAGTAGTACCATGTGATCAGATTTTCCATCCATCTGACAGTGATTGCTCTTTGTTTCCCAGTGATAGTGAAGTTGCATCTCCTGTTGAGAGCTCTAGGATAAGTGATTGAAGTGTTCAGATAGTTTTGTCCAGTGCTTGTCATCCATGTCTTGAGTTTCTCAGAATAACATATTTCCTCAATTTATTAAGCCCCAAAGGCTTTGAACAGGTTTTCTTGTTTCTCTTTTTGGGGATCAAACCAACTGACAGACTTGGTTTGAAAGGGATTTATTCAGGTTCACCTCCACCTGTTTGAAAAAAGGGTATTCCCTGTGGGCAGCTACAAGTGAAGCCAGATCAGGAGGGAAATAGGGAATTTTAGCACCCACGTTTCACATTGATTGATTACAAAATTCTCAAGCAGGGAGACAAGGTTACTGCTATTCCTAGGGAACAGGTCATTTCAAAACCAAACCACTGCCATTGTTTTAGAGTATGTGAACCAACCGGAATGGTGTCTCTGGCAAATGCGGTTTTATTTAAAGTGTTCGTACAGGGAAAGTGACACAGCAGCCGCAGCAGTTGTTGTGGTCTTGGGGGTAAAAAAACCTTCTGGATACTCTCACTACATCCAGGCATCCTTTTTACTTCTCTGGCCTGGCAAAGCTCCATTGCTGTTCCAAACAGCCATAAATATAAAAAAATTCCTGCCTATGAATGCTTCTAATTTGAGGTGGAGACGTCATGAAAACAGTGTCTAAACTCATGAGACTCTTCTTTCCAGGAATGGTATCTAAATGTCCTGGTTTTGTATATTATAACAACCTCTTTAGACTTTAAAACACAGGTAGCGAAGTTCTCAAATAAAGTAATTATATCCAGAGATCATGTTCCAGATTTACATATCTGAGAAAAAAGAAAACAGCCACTGATGTCTCCTGAGAGTCACCTCTACATAGAAGAAGGGTTAACAGGGGTTTTCTCCAACAAGAAATTGGAGGTGGAACTTTTTGCCACCTGCATGTCTGAAAGTTACTGATACCGTCATCAACATTGTTGTCAACATCAACTTACATACTGTCATTAACAGTGGGTTAATCTAATGGAAAAGATGCTTTCCCTGAACGTCTTTCTGGTAGTCCCTCCAGCAGAATAAGAATACAAAGCTTGTTTGTTCTTTATGGCCTTGTTCTAACCACACAGGTATAATCTCAAATTTGCTGTAAAGTCAACACCATCAAGTGGAGAGTTTAACTTAAGGGCATTGTGCAAAAATATAACTACGTGCTCCATTGCCTTCAGGAATTTTTCTCTATGACCTCCTTGGCCTAGAGGGTCTGGGAAGATAATTAATCATGAAAGCTCTCAGTAATAAATAGCAAAAATTTTAGAATTCTAGAATCATTTGGTTGGAAAAGACCTTTAAGATCACCAAGTCCAACCTTAAACCCAGCACTGCCGAGTCCACCACCAAACCATGTCCCTAAGCACCACATCTACACATCTCTCAAATCGCTCCAGGGATGGTGACTCAACCACTTCCCTGGGCAGCCTGTTCCAGTGCCTGACAACTCTTTAGGTGAAGAAGTTTTTCCTAATATCTAATCTAAACCTCCCCTGGTGCAACATTTCCTCTTGTCCTATCACTTGTGACTTCGGAGAAGAGACCAACAGCCCCCTTGTTCCAACCTCCTTTTAGGTAATTGTAGTGCGCAATGATGTCTCCTCTGAGCCTCCTCTTCTCCAGGCTGAACAGCCCCAGCTCCCTCAGCCGCTCCTCACAAGACTTGTGCTCCAGACTCTTCCCCAGCTTCACTGCTCTTCTCTGGACACACTCCAGCACCTCAACGTCTGTCTTGTAGCAAGATTTATGTCCCAAGAGACTTTTTTACTTTCCGACATTTACTTTTCTGTATTTTTTACAAATACATTTTGTGACCCTTTTTTACTTGTCGGACGCTAGCTGAAAACCAGACAGCAAACCTATATCAGTTAGAGGTAGACAAGTGTCTGCAGTTTTGCTTTCAGTAATGAGAGAGGTTGATACTTTTGAATCCTCACTATTAAGATGTTCTCTGTGGCTTGAGATGCTATTACCTTGGCAAAGGTAATAAGAGTTCTTTTTAAACTTTTGGGTTCACGCTTGGGGAGTCATTTCTGCAGAGGCAGTTACTTTAGCTCGAAGAATAGAAATAATGAGCCTCCAACTGTAGAGTGATTTTGTACTTTGCAGTAAGTTTCGAAAGAATAATTTGGTACTGTTGACTTAGCCAAGAATCTCCCCCACCTGATAGCAGGAGCTCTTAGCAGCAATTCTGCCGTTCTTCTCACATTCACGTGCCCAATCATGTATTTACAACAATATGCACCTGCAATTCTGTTTCAGTCAAAGGGAAAATCTGATTATGTAAATTAGTTTGCTAAGAAGTATGGTATTATTTTGTTACATAATGAACCTACTAAGAGAATGTTGCCCATACGGGTATTACAGTATGTATCTTTCGGACTAACATGACTGAGTTGATGGAGAACCATGGCACTTGAAAAAATGCAGGAGACTTACCAGAGAGATCTTACGAAGGGTAACATTTTGGCTTTTTAGTGAGCATGTTTATAGAACAGATGAACGAGCCTTCAGTGTCTGTCGTATGGTTTACTGGAGTTAAACCATAGATTATGTGTGTTTGTGTGTGCTCATGTGTATGTGCAGTTTATTTTGTATACATAAGTATCTGGACAGTGAAAAAGATTTTATGTGCGTGCAATGCCTACAGATGTAGTTGAAATTACTGGCAAACAACACTTTTCAGAAGGGAAAATAAAAGACTTTTATTTTTTTATTCAAAGATATCACTTTAATGCATTTCTGCCTTCCCATATTTCACATTTGGGGTTTATATGCTTTTTTCCCCCCCCTATTTCTTTACTGCCTTTTACTGGGAATGTCACTTGCTGTGTACCATAAACACTGAGTGAAGTTTGAGAGCAGCTAGTAAGGAGCACAGTTGAATATTATTATTGCTGTAATGGCTCAAGTTTTTTAACAAGCATGGACATTCTGTCCGTCATGTTTACAGAGCTAATATTCGAGCATGAAAAATTGTTTGAGAGTAGTATTTTCAAAGACAAACTTAGAGGTAAGTGTACCCGTGTTTCATTTCAGCATATGAATCACTCAGAGGTGTTTAGGTAAGAAAAGAGCTGGTCCAGCTGCTTCAGAGCCCAGGACTGTGATACATGTAAACACTTTTCCTATGGAGAATGTGAAAGGATGGGGAAGCACATGCAATGTCTCTGGGTATCTGCAGAGTAGTTAGGAGCACTTTAAGAATGCCTTTGCATATTAATCATACATAAAGTTACATTTTGAATTGGCCACTCAAGTCTCACTTAGCCTATATTTGTATTTCCAATTGAAACCATTTTTTTTTTTTTTGGAACATTTTAACCATTTCTGAGATTGTCATTATTTGTTTCCAGTCTCATAGATTGTATATATGACTCAGTATGCAAAATTAAAAACAGCAAGTCCAAAACAAATCCTAGAAGTATCAATAGGAGAAAAGAACAAACCTGAAAAATGAGATACAGCTCAAGTTATGTCTGGCTAGAAGCCAAGATTTTCTCTGTGTGTGTTCTTAGCACATAAAACCTAAGGTGTTTGAAAAGCACACATCTCTGCATAGAAGTGGAAGACAGTCCATTTCCAGAACTACTGCAAACACAAGAAACAATTGCAAAACCAAAAAAAGGGAGACCCCTTCTGATGTTATTACTGTCATGTCTTACATCTTTGTCTGAATCACAGAACCACTTGCTAAAAAACTGCAAGAGGAGCTGACCAATTAAAACTGGTATTCCATTGTGCTTTTGAGTGTTGTCTCATATAACAAGACCAAGTTAAAAATGCTTCCAATTTAATTTCCTTTGATTATAGTCCGTTAAATGATTTGGTTCTTTAGAAACCACTGATAAAAAAAAGAGTTACGTTGCTGATCTGATCTGTAGAACTCTATTAACTTAATTTTCCATATAATTTTGTGTCTGTCTATTTTCATTTGTGTTGTTCTTTGTATCCATTGTTTATTTAAAGCTGTAAAGTTTAGCGCTAACAAAATTTGCCAAACATGGGCCTCTCTTTTAGAAAGCCATCTTCCATTTTGACAGTTTTCCTTCTGGCAGAGACTCTCCTATTAAACTTGCTAAAGAGTTTTGATCACGTATATAAGGACTTCTGTTTCCTCTGTTTTTACCTTTGTTTACATGACTGCATTTTACCCTTCTCTCCATTCTTTTCCCTGTTTTCTTACTCCCTCATCATTTTTTTCAGATTCATGTATAACATTAGCTGCTTCCAGCTGCATTTTCATTTATGATTTCACAGTGGAGAGAGAAAGAATCTCTGTCTCCTTAGGAGAAAGATTTAGGAAATTCACATTATCTGCTCAGTTGC